CACTCGGTGGGCACTCACTGGTCACTCAGGGTAACTCAGGTGAGTGGTCACTCAGTGGTCACTCAGTGTCACTCAGGTGAGTGGTCAGTGGTCACTCGGTGGGCACTCACTGGTCACTCAGGGTCACTCAGGTGAGTGGTCACTCAGTGGTCACTCAGTGGTCACTCACTGGTCACTCACTGGTCACTCAGGGTCACTCATGCTCCGGCCCTGGCTCCTCGTGGCTCTGCTGCTGCTCCGGGGGGACCCGGGGGGGTCTCAAGGGGACCCCCGGGAGAGCCTTCATCACCTTCATCACCTTCATCATCCTCATCCTCATCATCCTCACCCGCGGGAGGAAGAGCCGCAGCCCGATCTTCATCACCTTCATCCTCATCATCCTCATCATCCTCACCCTCCTCATCCTCGGGAGGAAGAGCCGCAGCCCGACCTTCATCATCCTCATCCTCACCCTCCTCATCCTCACCCGCGGGAGGAAGAGCCGCAGCCCGACCTTCATCCTCCTCATCCTCATCCTCACCCTCCTCATCCTCGGCCGGGGGAGGAAGGCCGCGGCCCCCCCCGAGAGGACGAGGAGGGCGGCGGGGAGGAAGAGCAGAGCCTTCATCACCACCACCACCATCATCATCACCATCACCATCATCACCAGCAGCAGCAGCAGCAGCAGCGGAGGGATGAAGGCTCCGCCGGCGACCGCCACCATCATCATCCTCATCACCAGGAGGAGGAGGAGAGGGAGGAAGAGCCCCTGGGCCACCACCACCATCATCATCCTCACCATCATCATCCTCACCATCATCATCCTCACCACCACCACCAGGCGGGGGAGGAAGGCCGCCATGGCGAGGATGATGAAGGCTGCCGGGGCGAGGATGGCGAAGGCCACCGCCGTCGCCATGACGATGAGGATGATGAAGGCCGCCGGGGCGAGGAAGGCCGTCGCCGCGGCGACGGTGACGGGGGTGACGAAGGCCACCGGAGCGATGAAGGCCAGCGCCGTCGCCATGACGATGACGAGGATGACGAAGGCCACCATGATGAGGATGATGAAGGCCACCGCCGTCGCCATGACAACCACGAGGATGATGAAGGCCACCATGACGAGGATGATGAAGGCCACCGCCGTCGCCATGACGACCACGAGGATGA